CAAGTAATAGAGAATAGGATGGCTAATATGCTAGCGACAGGATATATATAGCGCATAACATAATCCCCCATGGGAGAGTCCCTGCGGACCGTATGTCCCTTCTTTGATTGTAGGTCGATTTGTTAGGTTAAGCAAAAGGGCACTCGAGGCTCAAAGTTTCCCCCCGAGCCCCCAGTCGCGGGTCCGTTAGAAAGGTCGCGAGCTTAACAAAGCCCGTGTACCCAGCCTGAAAATGCCCATTGGGCCGGTGCAATTCATGGGCTAGTAGGCTACTTAGCTACCAAAAGGGGCCAGGGTCAGGCCACAAGCCCAAGGTGGGCCCTTGCAACCTCTATGTAGTCTCAACAATTCAATGGTTCTTTCCGGAACTTCAACGGGAACACCACTGGAATCCACTCGAACCATTTAACAAGAAAGACATCGAAACCCATCAATAACGGATTCTGATTGAAAAACGAAAAAAAAAATAACAAATGGCACTGTCGACGGATCTCACACCAACGAATTCATTGATCGAACAGTCGATCTCAAGGAAAGAGAAATTGAACGAGCTGAGGAAGAGGAAATTGAATACTCAGGCGGCTGAAGATCAATCAAACAATAACTCGAACGAAAGCCAAGAGACAAACAATAAAGCCAAGTTGAGTGCATATATTCTATTCATAACGTCAATAAAGCTTCTTAGAAATTTATAATCTCGATAAATAATTGATGTGATATTTGTTATCTTTTTTTTGTTGGAATGTTTTTTTAAAGGAAACGGGAGTTTAAGTTTCGGAACTATGATCCGACGATCCAAGGTCCCAAACGACACGACCCCAGCGAGCATTCGAAAGAGACGGTAGAAGAGACGGTGAAAGATCTGATGGAGAAAGTGAAACAGAACGATGAAGCGATCCGATCCAGTGAACTCGTCCGTCCTTTTTCTTTTGTTTTTTCTCTCTCCACCTCCATCAATATTCACGCGACCCAAAAGAAAAAAAAAAAAAAAAAAAACCAGATGTTGATTATAATCTTGCTCCTTTGAGATCATGAATAAATAGGACTTGACCAAAATTCAACCCAAAAAACCTAATTGGGACTTGAAAAGAGACTTGACAAAAAAGCTTTCAAAGTTAGAGCCGATCACACAAGCAGCTTTTGCGACTCTAATAAGTTAGCAGGCTGCTTTTTCTTCGCTCTGATCTATGTGTCCCCTTATTGAAGCGGTTGGTTTTTATCTTCTACTTGTTTCCTAATTGGATAATTGGATGGGATTTCTAGGAAGACGGATGCAAGCCGAAGGGACCACTCTGACGGATGAAGGAACTGCTGCTTTAGTAAAGGAAATGAATACGGATAGGAACCCAGTTGGAGAACAAAGCGACGACTCAATGAGTGACGGAGAAAATTGAAGACCTCGGATTCACCGACAAGAAGCGTTGACGATTGGAGGTCGGCTTTAGAATCAATTTTGTACAATAAATTTCAAATGTTTCCCCGAAAAAATCTCAATCTTGTCCTTTTGTGTAATAGTGCGTCAGACAAAACGAGGGAGATAGAGAAGCAATTGATTGTGTTTTTAATACATGTTACAATTATGGCCTCTTATAAGCAGCCGCACGAGTCGTTAGAGGTGCAATCGGCTTGCCAGAGCATAGATGATGCAGCAATAAACGAGGTGAGTAATGAGAAGTCAGATTAGCCCAAAGTGAGATGTAATCTGAAAAGATCCAAGAGAGACCGACGGGCACGTTCTAAATTGGGTAATTTAACATCGTTGAATCATGAAGCCGGGTCAGCCCAAGCAGCTCGGTCAAATGCGGTTGAAATTGCATGCAACAGCTCATCTGAAGTTTGAATTTGGCTGGATCATGATCATGTAGTGGTATAAAGCAACACCAGCTGAAAAAGAAAAAGGTGCACTTAGACGATTTGCAGGATAAGGGATAGGAGACGACGTGTTACTACTTACAGGGCAATCGAGCCGGATCTTTCAGCCTCAACATCAGGACAAACAGAGGGAAGTGGTTCAATAATGATAAGCCGGTGCCAATAATTCCATGTACCCAAACAATTAACACACGAGTCTGGAAAAAAAACAATGGAAGGTGGTATCAGATATGGTCGAAACACACTCCCAACTTGAGTGACTGATTATCGATTCTCACTGTACTTGTCAAGATGTAAAATGCGAGAATGGTTGGAAATAGGAAAATCGCTAGTGTGAATAAAATCGTGCCAAGGATCAACTGATCGAGCTGATAAGTCGCCGGTTCATTTCGTTTTCGTAATACGTTATATTTCCGACCTTTTCACAAAGAAAACCCAAAGACCACGAATGAGCCATAATGAATCAACGTGTATCATTCCAAGTGTTAAGACTTTAGTGTCAATTGGTATTTCTGGAGGGAAAGTACCTCTGAAAATATTGAAAAGCACGCTAAGAAAACGTAATTGACAATCAAAGATAAATGTAAATAATCGATAGATTATCCATAAATGGAACGTCGCAATCGTCAAGAAATCGGATGCAATAGCCAGGGCAAATGTGTTCCCGAATAAGCTGACAAAACCGACCGTCCAAATCATCTTGGGTAGAATCAAATAGGCATGTTTCAAAACATCTTTTTGTTTTTCAAAAAAAAAAAAAAAAAACATCAAAAAAAACATCAGAGCACAAAAGATGGGATTTCAAGGTTGACGAAGTTCTTTTTTGACAGGATATTTATTCATACAGATGTGCCAAAAGTCGACGGCCATGTTGGAGCATAAACAGAAAGCTTGACCGAGTTGATCATTCAATTTCAATCCAACGGGATACGAATTCGTCCAATGTAAAGCTTTCTTAACCAACGTAACAGTATATGTCTGAAAAGAAGTAAATAGAAGAAGGAATAATTACCATCCCCCTTTTTGGGGTTCTGTGTTTTTGTGGAGTACAGACGGCAAAAATGGTAAAGGTTTACTTGTAAATGGTATTCTAACCACGCCGCTAATAGGTCGGAATTTTCCATCAGAATTTGTCCGCTCGTTCGTCCGAAAATTATATCATTTGCAATCAACCACAACGTATTAAAAAGCCTGTTCATGTAATTTAAACACATCAACTTTGATTTACTTTTTTAAATGAGAGAGATTTGTGTGTGCGGGGAGGGGGGGGGGTTAAAATTTACATGACATATTCGGCACGCCGACCGGATAGGTCAGCATCTTCTTCTCGAGTGATCTTTCGATATCGACTTGGCCAACTTGATATCTCCACTAAACGGACATTGAATTGCTGAACTATATCAAAAAATAACCTCATTCAGTTTTATATTTTGACATGGGTTGGGGGTGTCACGATGAAGTACACAAAGAGAGAGAGAAGGAAAGAATTGAGGAAAAAGCACGCAACGGAAAGTGGATAATCCGAGGATCAAATCTAGTTGGTTTGGGAGAGCTTCGATCGACTCGTGGTCTTCTTTTCCTTCTTGTTGTTGTTGACTTGGTTTTTTGATTGTTTTCTTTCGTCCTGGATCTTTTGATTTGTTCTTATTATGAAATCTATTATGGATTTCTTCACTAGAGTTTATCTACAGATGTGCCGAAACATAAGCATTAGTAAAAGAATCACGAGAACCAAAACCCAAAAAGAAAAAGAAAGAAGCTTACGAATTTGATGATTGTTGACATTTCTCTAGGATGAGAGTTATCATGACTAGGAGACATAGCAAGATGAGGATAGAGTTGATCGAAGAGTTTAATCTTATCAGCTAATGATTTGTTTCCATTCCTTTGTGCTGATGCAGATGTTGATGATGATGAAGGCTGATTATTTTGAGAGACTACTAAGGAGGGTTTGAGTAACGGTCTAAGCGAAAGAAAGTGATGTTTTCGGATCGATGGTCGGTCGTATATCATTACTATGCTCTCTTCTTCGTCTTCTTCTTGCGGGTTTCTGCATATGAATAATCCATCCTGAAATAACGTCAGAGTATGACTGAGACAGGGTTTTTTTTTTAAAAAAAACGTTCAAAAACATACTTTATTTTCAGAATTCCTTCAGGTTGGTATTTTATTGCTATCCACTCTTGATCAGATTGTGGAGGACTTGCAGAGGAACTTGCAGAGGGGTTCAATTGACCTAAAAGACGAGCATTATGGGGATGAACAAGTGATCCGTCGAGGTCCCTGTCCGATCGATGTAACGATGTCTATTTTGGGGATGAAAAACATCTGGTCAGCCTCGCTTGGGTCTGCATTATTCCAGGAAAGAGTCGACCAACCAAAGAATAGTTTTCAACCAGAGTTGCTACGCAAAATACTTTATCGATCTGCCATCCGATCAGATAACCCGTCGAGTCAAGAGGATAATCGCTCGGCCAAAACACATGGCAAGTCTGGCTGGATGACGGCTGTTTCGTTGATTCGGGCATTGCTCTTTCTCCTTCTTTCTATATATGTACAAGAAAGACGACGGTTGATGTATTGGGTTGTGCAGGTTCAGAATGAGCCTCGTCGTTTGAGATGGTCACTAGCGGTCAATCTGTACGTTCGTTTAGATCCCTACATACACGAAAGAAAGCCGAAGGTTAATAGAGATGTACTTCACGTTTGACATGGCAGTTGATGAAGAAACGGGACAACAAGATACATACGTATTCTGTTATCGGTCCAAGGAATCGGATGGCACCAACGACGAAGAGGAGGAATGAGAGGGCGAAAGCGAATATGACGGCCAGCAGATTCAGTTGTAAGACCATCCGATCTATCTCGTTTGTTCAACAGCAGTCAGATCTGTGATGTGGTAGTGCGCGGAAACTCGGCTGATGACCATCATGCCCTGCGACGAGCACTGCAATACACAACAAGCCCAATCCAACATCGGAGCACTCTCATCAACCGCTTCCCATGTGCAGAACATTTCACATCAACCGCAAACCTGGACTATGTTACTTGCAATCCCGAAAGCCCCTCTATCGATCATTGGAGGGGGGACGCCGTCCCGCTGCAGGGACCCTCCTCGCAATGCGACCAGTGGTTAACCACTCCGACAAGGGAGGGCAGGGACTCAGCTATAAACTTAGGGACTTTCCCCATTCACACTTCGTAGGTATAAATTGCTTAAATGAAAATGAATTGAAAATTTGCCTTCTTTTTTGCGATCCAGAAGCTGCCTTCAGTCGCTCTTAAAGGACCGCAATAATAGGAGTCATTTCCAGAGAATTGCAAGCGACATCTTCTCATTCAAGCTTAACAATTACGCGCCCGCAAAGATCTTAGCAACATTTCTCTCAAGATTGATAAACACTGAGGGAATTCAAATCACTTTCTCAAAACTTATGTTGCTTGTATATTCTTCAGCGGAAAAAGGGTGGCACTGGCGTAGTTTTCTTCACTGAAAAGTTCAGACAAGCTAGTTGGATTCTAGAGTGCATAAAGTTTTGAAGAAGAGGCCATGGTATTTGGATATCTTGATCAACCTTGTATAGGGGTACAGCTCTGAGGGACTTGGCCGGTCTGCTAAATCAACCCAAATTCAAATCACGTATTAGCTTTACTGTTATCCACGCAAACAGGGAAAGCAAACCTGAAACTTACATCTACTTGAGAGGTACAGCAAGAAGACTTTTCGCCGGTTTGGCAGGTTTGTCCTGCGTTGTAATCTGGTAATCGGGGGAAAAAAGGCCGCGCGATGATAGACCGGCAGGTTGCGGGATTAACGATAGAATCTGAGCATCAAAGGATCAAGACAGATTGAGGAGAAAGTCCTTACATTTATCCAAGATAGATTCACAGACTAGGAAAGGTGCATCCTTCTGATTTTTATCCTTCACCATGTTGCACTTTGGGGAGCGTGCGGATGCTACCATATCAATGCAAACTAATGAAAGCACGAGCATCACAGCTGAAAGAACTCGGAGAGTATACATGATGGGGATAGTAGTTCTTCTAGGATATTGAAGTTTTTGTAATCGAAGTGTTTTTCAGATTGATCTGGAGTCGGAATGTTTATCTCTGGATGGGGGGGCCAGTGATGAAGAAGAAAGGAGGCCATTTTATTTCAAACAGTTGCCGGACTTGAAAGGCCAATTCTTCCGCCAGATGAACCCAGAAGAATGCCGTCTGTTTTTCCATCGAAAAGCCTCCTGCGCCTGCAGTGCCTCAAAAACATTGGTGTCGTCATTGATCGCTGGTGATCAGTACGCCAGAAGAAGCACACAAGCGTGGCCACGCCCTGCCGCAACGCTGGCGCTGCACTGCTGTCGGGTCCGACTCGGAGTGATTAAGCCTGAATCAAATCTTAAGATCATGGAAGTTGGGTTTTGTCGAGTTAGAGCATCCACCCTCGTTCCGGTAAATCTTGAGGTACACCTGGGGTGCAGTTCGTGTTGTAACCCAAAAGGGGTTACAGCCCTGAGACTCGCCGCAGCACCTATATATATCCACCTCGGATGCAGATCCGAGGTGGTGTCAGTACGGAATCTATCTATCTTTCTCCCAACTACCTTGAGATTCCTGGGCGAGGTGTGAACAGGTTATGAGTCCTTGACACTACCAAGCTTATCGATTCGACCTTATCGATTCCTTCTAATTTAGGAATAAGGAAGCACCTAATAGTGTTTTTCCTGATATACAACCTCTGCTTTCTCTCTCCTATCAACGGTACTATCTTAATCGATATACTTTCTCTTGAAAATACTAATCGATTTTCATCACTCCGACTTCACCGAACCCTATTCCTATAAACAGTCATCAGTCTAATTGACATTTCGTTACCCACTGGTTCTAATTTTCCCGTGATACATCCTCCTCAGTTTCTTCTTTACTTCCAATAAAACCCTTACCTCCCTTTCCCTGTTATCTTTCATTTTTCTTCCGCTACTCACATCTCTCTTCTGTTGTGAATCTTGTTACGATTGACGGAGCGACTCCTCTGAAGGGCTATCTGGATTAGCCATCCGGGGAAGTTATAGTTATTGGCGTAACTATAACGCCGAACAGTTGACGAGCAACCGATATCCTTTTTGTTTGTTGATTGACCCAAATCTTGTTTTTCCTATTCTACTCACTCTTATAGTTACTACTGTCAATTTTTTTTTCCTTTCTAACGTTATTTTGAACGTCACCACACCTCCCGCCACCCGTTTACACATTTTTTTTCTCCTCTTTGATATTTTTCTTATCCTTTCCCGTTTTCTTCTCCTTACATTCCCACAAATCCTATCCTTTTCACTTTTCTTCTTTCCCGATTCCTTTTTTTCCTCTCCCCAACCCTTTCTTCTCATTTCCCGATCTCTTCTCCATCAGCTCTCACACCTCCGTAACCTTTTCTTCTCATTTTCCGACCTTTCTTTCTTTCCGCCCTCACATTCTCCTTTTTTCCTTCCCTTTCCCACCATACCCACTCTTATTTCCTTTTCCTCAACCCACCCTCCGACATGTCCAACGACAGACGGACTAGTTTGGCAGGATCTACCCACTCGCGTGACTCCTTGAGCGATATGGAAGATTACCAGCCGGATGGTGAACGCCGAATGACCAAATTGTTCGACTCCGTGGCCTCCGGGACCGTTGGTCATCACGCCGGGGACAAGACGTTGAAACCGAGTAATGTCCAGCACCTCCAGCCTGCAACACACAAAGGCAAAGAACGTGCGGCGACTGAACCAGTAGGATCGTCCAGTCACCAACCGACTCCTCACATTTTCCCGGTTCCGAATCCTCTCCTTCCCAATGCTTCCGCCCATGCCAAACATGTGCCGCCACATCTCCCACAATCCTCGACCACTGCCACTTCACACAGACCACAAGCGGTTGCCCCTGTAGCAAACAATGAAACGGCCGATGAAAGAGACTTCCGTTTGGCAGAATTTCGACTGAAGCAAAACAAGATGGTCTCCTCAACGGTTGCGTCACTGCTTGCCGCTCTCAAGAAGGAATGCATCCTCGAGCCTGACGGGACAAACTTCTCCCAGTGGATGCGTGGCCTCAAGGAAGTATCCCGCACGGGCCTGTCAGGCGCCAATTTTTTCTTCGAACCCTGCACTAATCGGACTTTTGAAAAGATTGGCAGAGCGGTTCTGATTGCGAGTGTCCACAACTCCCTCGTTCCCGATTTGCATTCCATTGACACGGCCCACAACATGTATCTCGCGCTCAAGAAAAAGTTCAAGACAACTTCTCGAGCCGCCCAGATGAACATCTGGAGGCGTTTCATGTCCTTCAAAATCGATCCCTCAATGCCGAGTGCGGGTGTAGCGTCGGTTTTGCTTGATCTCTACTCGGAGTGGAGATCAGTTAATGTCAGCTGCAGGAGCGACTCGTTTCTTGGTTTCATTCTCCAGGCGGCAATCGTTCAATCAGGAGCTCTGTTTCGTCTGGACTTCGAAAATCGAATTGAAAACGCCATCCAGAACAATCCCGACGCCACCTGTCCGACGTTTGCTTTCATATGCAACGCCTATGATGTCAGCCGGCAACAACACCTCCAGGCCTCCGACCAACTCACAACCATCCCGGGCTCAGTGAACTCCCCAACGGCGCTGGTAGCTACGACGTTGGCCGAGGACGACTTTGATGCCTCAATGTTTCTGACTGGGATCGAAGAGCCGGAATGGAGCGACGCTCTCGACTTCTTTGCTCTGACGGCTGCCAAGTGCTGGGGATGTGGTGGTGAAAACCACTACCAGCGCGACTGCCCTCAAAAGGGTGCGCGGTCAAGCCAATCGGCCGGACGACAAGCAATCGGCACGCTGGTCGGAACGATCTATGGCCAACTGCCAAGTGGTTTCCAGGTGACGTCGGCGAGGTTTCCAAACTACTCAGCTCGGAAGTCGCTAGCCCCCCCTACGAACAATCAAGCCCGTGCAAGACAGATGGCCGACTACTACCGACCAAGGTACAATCAAGCCCAACACTCTCAACAACAGCCTGCAAGATCGACTCAGTCAGCAAAACCTGGGGGGGTTACGGCGCAGATCGTGGAGCTGGGTGTCCTGCCGGATGATTTGGATGACCTGGACTTCCGCACAATGGCGCTTGGGGAAGACGTCGTAAGTGATCCTGCTGTTTTTGATACCGGAGCCTCTCACGGTTTCACGGGGTCTAAATTTCTACTTCATTCTTTTCGCTACCTTTCAAAACCTATTCCTGTGTCGGTAGCTACCAACGGTAGTGGATCAAAGATCACCGGGATCGGAGACCTTAAATTCCGGGGCCCACATGGCCAGATAATTGTTCTGAAACACGTTCTTTATTGTGAGCATGCCAGAACAACCTTAATATCCATGGCTGCTCTTCGTAAAGCTAATGCATCCGTCTTTTATGACAACGAAGCAGAAGCTTTCAAAGTTTATCACCCGAATGGTTCCCATCTGTTCAGCTGTGTTTTTGAACCAGCTAAGAACAGATGGTGTATGCCCTACCCGATGATCAGGTCGGACAGGGTTATGGAAAAGTTCCCACGCGACACTTCTGGATCTTCTGTCTCATCATCTTCTCAACTTCTCTTTTCGCTCTCTAATTCTGTCTCTATATTGTCATCTCCCAGCAATGACTTGCCAAATGATGCCAATAAAAGTAATGCTATCTCTGTTTTCGCGTCTAAAACTGTGCCCCCTAGTGAAATATTCAAAGAGCCAGTTGGTAAGACAGTCGATTTTCTCTGGAAACCAGAATCACTCACCAAGGAAGAGGTCACTCTACTGTTTTGGCACAGGGTTTTTGGCCACGCAAGTCTGAGACATATCCGTCGGCTGATTAAGCTTAAGTTAGGGCATGGCTTACCTGTAGAACTCCCACCAGGAAAAATTCATTGTCCAGTCTGTGCAATAAGCAAAAGCACAAGAATTAACCCCCTAGCCCCTTCTTACAGACCAGCGGAAAGACTTGACATCATGGCAGCGGATTTGATTGGACCTTTCGAGGTGCCCTCGGTTGATGGCGGTAAATACATCCTGACTATGCGTGATGAAGCTACTGGTTATTCCTTTGCAAAAGTTCTGGTAGCCAAGTCGGATGCTAACCAGAATATCATTGACATCATCACGCGATTGGAGCATCAGACTGGCAGAAGACTGAAAACTCTCAGAAGCGATAATGGGGGTGAATTTACTAATAAAAAATTGGAGGATTTTCTGACCGAAAAAGGGATAAGGGCTGAAAAGTCTCTCCCATATCATCACTACCAGAATGGCATGATAGAACGGTACAACCGGACTATCCAGGACATGGGCAGGACCATACTGATAGACAGTGCTTTACCGAAGACGTTTTGGAGCTACTCCTTTTTATGGGCTAATCATGTTTTGAACAGAATCCAGAATAAAGCTAGCGGTTTAGTGACGCCTTACCAGGGAATGTACCATGTCAAACCCACATACGACGGGTTTCGGGTATTTGGAGCAATCGGATACATACACATCCCAGAAGAAAAACGACTCCGCCTGGAACCCAGGGCAGTGAAGGCTCATGTCATCGGTCACCTTGAAAGCAGCAAAGGCTGGCTGTTCTGGATACCCGAGGACAACACTTTTGCGACGTCGGCAATGGTGAGATTCCCCAACGATCTCCCAATGGACAGACCAACTCAGGTCATCGACAAGCAAGTACCGGACTGCACACTTCAGGATAGGCCCAAAGAAAATGCTAAACTTTCTATTGATTACATTATGAATCTCATGCAGCTTGGCGATTTCTCCAATGAGATCGAGTTCACTAACCAAGAGCTGATTATTGATAAGATTATAGATATGTGCGCTTTCTATGCGATTTCTGTTCCTAAGACTTTCAAACAGGCTATGCGGTCAGACGAGAAGGATGCGTGGTCGAAGGCGATAGCTGTTGAATTATCCAATCTCGAACAGATGAGGGTGTGGGAACTCCTACTCAAACCGGCAGACAAGAAAGAGTTAGGAGGGCGATGGGTGTTTGCAACAAAACCGGATGTTGACGGCACGGGAGTTCGTTTCAAGGCACGATACGTGGCCAAAGGTTTCACACAGATAGCCGGAAAAGATTTCAACAAAACT